CCTTGGAGAAAGTCCAAGCACCAGATAAGCATGAGAACGTTCACAGCAGCATTGTACCTAACAGCAAAACCTAAACACAACCCCAAATCCATTAACTGGTGTATTCATCCCATGAACCACTACGCAGATACAAAAAGGAATAAATGACAGTATGGTTCTATTAGCCGAGATGAATGACTTCTTGAGCCACAGCAGCAAGCCATGAAAAAATATATTCAGCTTTTATTTAAAGTTCAAAAAGAGTTAAACTTAATAAAGTACTGGTGAAGAATACGTTATAGGTGGTAAAGCTAATGAAAAGCAAGAGAAGGAGTGCGACCAAATGCAGGACAAACAGCTGCCTGGAGGGCACAGAGACGGATAAAGGACAAAAGCAGGACGATCAGGGATGGGTACACAGCATGAGTTATTGCTGAGTGCTGAGTACATGGGTGCTTATTTTATTCATGCTTGATACATTTTGCCTATATGAGACATTCGAAATGTAAAAAATAATAGACAGAGACAAAAGTTAAAAGACTAGAAAAATTTACTGGATGAGAGAAAATTATTTAACTTAACAGTAATGGAAGCAACTACAAAGGAATGGTTGATTTTGAATACATTAAAAAAAAAAAAAAAGAAAAAAGTAAAATTGACTTAAACAAGAAAACTCCAAACCAATTATAAAGCCATAGTAATAACAGTTAAGTTATAAATGGATGTAGACATATGAGAAGTTTAATCTCACTAGTAATCAAATGCAAACTAAAACAGAACCGTAAATTAAGAAATGATGACACTACATATGGGTAAGACTATGGTGAAACTAACTTTTTTACGGGCTATTGGGAATGAACCTTGGTGAAACTTCTATTGAGTAAAGTTTAGCATACATATGAAATGAAGTATCTTAAAAATACACTATTACAATTAGAATTCTACTTTTAGAAACAAGTCTTAAGGAAATAATCTGAACTACTGTACAAAAAAATTATATTAAGAAGAAATGTCCAAAAAGGGAATACTAAGTCAAAGAATAAGAAAATTATCTTTAATTTATAGAAATAAGTATTGACAATAATATAAAATGTTGCTAACTATGAATGCTGCTAACTATGTATCTGGGGAAAGAAAATCATGTCAGTAAGAAATGCAACACAAAACGACACACAGAATGGCTTTTTAACTATGTTTCTTTTATGTCTAGAAAAACAGACAGGAAAGAATGCTCCCACTGTTAGAGCTATCTCCGCATGATGAGCTTATGGGGGATTCCGCAGTTGTTTTTGGCATCCAAATTCCTTTGAATGAGTTCTTACACTTGTGAAGGCAGAAAACAAACCAAAAATCACAAAGCCCACAAAACCCTCCATAGATCTCCAAACTCCCAAGCACAAAGACATCACTTAGGGGTCCAAGGTTCTCTGTAATATTGTTCTTGGCTTACCCTCCCCAGGTCTCTCCAAATGGACTCCCTCTGGCTTCTAGAATATGCCCTCCTACCTTCTCACTCCAGCAACTGAGCTCACACTATCTGCCTGGATCGCTTTCTCCACCTGGCCCAGCGCCACCATCTTTCAAAGTCCATGAGAAACACTCTTTTCTGTGACATTTTTCCTAACTTTGCTAGCTTAGCCACCCCAACCAGAGGCGATTTTTCCTCGTTTGACTCCTACAGAGATGACTACAAATGTAGCACTACGAAATGTAGCACTCTTTCTACAATTAGTCTTCACTTTAATGTTTGTTCTGTTTCCATGCTCCTCCTGGATCTAGGAGTTCCAGAAGGAGCGCTATCCTCCTCCAGCTCTTTCTCTGATACGGACACACTGTTTCGCAGCATTAAAAGCCTACCGAGCATTTGAGGAACTGAATCAATTATTGGCACAACGGATTAGTCTTCTGCTTTGGCCACAAGAAGGAAGAGAGAACAGGAAATGTTACTCATTTGAAACTCAGCATGGAATTTATCAGAGACAATGATAAAAAATGGGATATTAATGGATAAAAACATAATGGACTTGTGTTTCATTCTTTTGCCAGCTACAAATCTATCCACAATTGGTAACTTCATTTCTATGGAAACAAAAATGCGCTTTGAATTCCCAAAAATCCACCTCCAAAGAGTTTCTGGAGGACAGCCAGTGCTTAAAATGATACACTTGCAGATAACACTTTCCTTTAGAAAAAACATTGCGTTGCTTCAATCTGCCTTAAGCTTCTTCTGAAAAGACAACAGAAAGAGCGAAATCAAACAGGAAAAAGGAAAGTGGATGTTCTAAACACCTGAAATTTTTAGGGCAGAAAGTCGTCAAAGGTTATTTTCCATGAAAATCTTCAAATTAATTGAATTAATATCTACAAAGTCTGTGCAGATAACCCACCCATGAGTTCACACACACCTAAGTGTGTATATTTAAGGACAAACCCTCCCTATGTTTCATAGCACACGGGGCTTTACTTAAAAATAAGTAACTCTGTTTGAGGGCTGCTCTTTGCCAGATTTTGGTGGGGGAGGAACTGGTTAGGGCAGCTCTTAATATTGACTTGGACTAACCTCTCCATGTATGCATTTAAGCATTGCTCCATATCCATTCATTCAATGAATTGTATTGAGAACAGTGCTGCGTAGGCTAAGGTTGGTATGGCCTTGACCTCAATGCCCACAGGCTGCCCCAGACCTATATACATTCTACTGGAGGACTGAACAATAAACAAGTAAACAGATGAACGAGGTAATTATAGGTTATGGGAAGACCTGCAAAGAAGATAAATAAACAAGACAGGAAGGCTATTTAATAACCACTACAGGCCTCTCGGATACAATGTACCTGAGATAGAAAAGAAAAAGAAAAAAAAGACCTAGCCACGCACACTGCTTGGGCAAGAGCCTTCCAGGCACAGAGAAGTGGAACGGTTTCCAGGTAGAAACAGACTCAGTTTGTTTGAAGAGCATAAAAGAAGCAGTGTGGCTGGTCATGTTTTTCAAACTGGGGGGGCCGGGGGTATGTTTGTAAGTTGTGATAACAATTTTGTGGGTCACTGCATCGGGGAGTTACAGGTTTTCAGAATAAGTATTCTTTAACAAATGTTTGCTTCAGTTGTGCGTGTGCACGTTTACTGGATAGCAACGTAGAATACATTTTCTATTGCGGGCAGTGGAGAAACCCGCACTAAGCAAGAAGAGTGGGAAGGGGAGAGGCTGGAGGGGTGGATAAAGAACGAGGGCATGCGTGGCCTTTGTCCTGAGGCACCATATAGAATTGGGATTTTAATTCTGAACAAAGTCGGAAGGTAGTGAAGGGTTTCAAGCTGGGGAGTGACATGATCTAATTCGACAGGATGGTGTGGCCAAAAGGTTACTACAGTGAAGTTCAAAGATCTGAGCACCTGTCCTGGCCTCGCCACTAACACTACAGATTTTGAGCAAATCACTTCATCTCTCTAACTGTACTTTCTTCATTTTACAAACAGAAGGTTGGATGGAGCAAGACGACCTTTGAGATCTTGTCCATTGCCACATTCCTATGAGCACATTGGGGGCACGTAAATGACTACTGGGGAGACACTAGGTCAAATTTTTTTTTGTTTTACATTTTTTTAAATTAAATTATTATCTGTGTACATATTTTAACATTGCCCCCCACCCCCATACATACCCTACTAGGTCAAGTTTTATGTTATTTCTCAAAATATTGTGAACGATGTAGCCATAGAAGTCTCATTTCTATAGAAAGACATTTTAGAATTATTTCTTTATTGGAACCAGCTCTGTGATTCGAAATGAGATCTCTGGACTCAAGGTGAATCATGTGCTTTTGCAACTCTCTGGTGCAAAGTTTAAGATGGGAAGGGATTAAAATATTTACTGGCCAGGTTTTTTTTTTTGGAGGGGGGAGCAGATTCCTTTTTTGTTCTAGGTCATCAACTGACATAATCTAGGGCAGTTTAAAGTTGCAGGGAACCTCTTCTTAGCACTGAAGTCAAGATGTGGAAGCATCCTTTCACAGTAACCAAAATGAATATGGAGGCAAATATTCATTGATAGACTGCTATATGCTAACCCCATGCTAGACATTTTGACATATGCTTTTTAAAAATAATTTTTTTATCCTCTAAAGTTTTACATGTTTTCTTTTTCCCTAGTTGACCTCTCCCCCACCCCCAGCCATTCCCACCCCGGGCAAGCCCTCACCGCCCCAGTGCCTGTGTCCACTGGTTATGCTAATATGCGATGTATGCTTTTATTTAATACTCCGACCTAACCCAATTATTTCCATTTTACAGCAATGGCAACAGAAAAGACACTTGCCTACTAAGTGGGCTCAGAAAAGACAAGTAAACTATCAAGTGGCAGGATTAGTATTAGAATATCATGTCATGTTTATAACAAATTTTCCTGCATGTTTTTAAAATTACAAGGATTAAATCATCGGTTTTAACTGGGCAGCTCAAGTCTCTGTGACATATGGGCACAGGATGTTCAAGCAATAAATCAATCCTGGACTAGCAGGTACTTTGCTAGCTTACAGTGTGAGAGGGAAGAATGACGAGAACTTGTCTCAGCACCGGAGAGCCTGCGCAGTTGGTAGCATGCCGGGTTAGTTGCATGACCTGGAATTAAGCAAACTATCCAAGGAATGTGGATCCCCACCTAAGTGCACGTGAATAGGATTGTGGCAGCTTCCAGGGTCATTTTTCACAATGGGAGCTGGTCAAGTATCAGCAGAGGAACCAGGGACAGGACGTGGAAAGTGTCCTGCAAGTTCCATAAACTTGCGATGCTCCATGCACTGATTTCCAACTTGCATGAACCCTTTCGCACGCAGTGGACGCCTCCGCTGCCCAACTGGAGCGGCGTGCATGCCATGCTATGGAGAGGAAACCCTTGGCAACTTGCAGGGCACCTTCCCCGTGAGGGTCCCAATGGTCCCCAACACTTCCCACGGAGACACCCAGCAACAGAGCCGGGGATGCTCCCTGCACACCTGCCACAGCACCGAGAACGCGGTACCCACCTGTCACATACTCGGCTTCGAACCTTCGGCGGGTCTCGGCGACGAGCTTGGCTTTATTCTGGGCGTGACCCTGGAAGGGAGACAGAGACACTAAGCACCATCCCGCTTCCCCGGGCTCAGCCTACCTGCACCGGGAGCGCCCCCCCCCCATCCCCTCTGCCTTCACCCCGAGATCGGAGGGTTCCGGGTGCCGGGAGGGGGCTGAGGGCGCTGAGCTTCTCACCTCGGCCATGGTCGCGGGCGCAGACGCGATGGCAGGCTCCGTCCTCACTTTCCCCGCCGCCGTCCCGGACCTTCCTCGCCCGCGGGCCGGCCAGGAGGTACAGAGGGAAGGGCGGGAGGCGGAGGCGGTCGCGTGACACCGGAAGGCGGGCGGAGGTGTAACTGCACCGCCCAATCCGATGCCGGCGACCAAGTCCGGAGGCGGGACCATATCCTCAAGCTTGCCTACCATTCGCTGCTTTGACTAGTCCCGCCCCCTGCGTCCCCGCACTGCGGACCCACCCCCGCCAGCCACGGACAGAAGGCGCTCCTCCCCCTTCTCCCCGCGAGCTCCGCCCCGGAAAGCTCCGCCCACTATTCCGCTTTCACAATGTTCCCCGGAGGCCCCGCCTCCTCCACCTCCCCCGGCAACCGGCTCCGGGCCGGCTCCTCTGGCTCCGCCTTCTCGGAGCCAAGGCCGCCACCAGCCCAGAACTCCCACGATGCAACGCGCGGGCGGGAGGTTTGGAGCCTCCGGAAGTGGGTGCCGGGTGGAACTTCGGGAACTCGGGGACTGTAGGCTGCGGGCCTGGGGCGCAGAGGTAGGGCCCGCGAGTGATTCCTTACCCAGCCTTCCTGGAGGGGGCGGGAGGCCGGGGTGCTTCCTTGTGGTTTTTGCGGGAGAGAGGGAGAATGCGGGCGTCCCTGGGCCTGTGTCCATCATCCCTTAGCTGTTCATCATCCTAGGGAATGCTAACTAGATTTTAAGTGCTTGCTACATTTGGGGACATTTCACTTGCAAGTTTCTCCACCCCTGTAACATCTTTCTTGCTTGGCACTTGAATAGATCGTTGCAATCTTTGAAACGTAAAGTTAAGAGATGTAAATTGTATCGTCTGTTAAGATGATTGTTCTCAAAGCAAGAGGGGCAATTCTGCCTCCCAGGGACAATTGGAAATGTCTAGGAGGCATATATATGTATATGGGTGAGTATATATATATATATTGATTTCAGAGAGGAAGGGAGAGAGAGAGAGAAAATCATTGATCAGCGATCTTCTGCATGCCCCACACTGGGGATCCAGCCAGCAACCCAGGCATGTGCCCTGACAGACTCTAACCATGACCTGCTTCCTAGGCGGATGCTCAACCACCTCTGCTGGACTGGAGGCCTTTGTTGTTGTAACAACTGGGAGGGGTACCTGCTCCTGGCATCCAGTGGGTGGGAGCTGAGGGTACTGCTAAATTCGCAATGCACAGGACAACCCCCACAAGGTATCCAGTGCAAATGATCAGTAAGTGCCAAAGCTGGCAAAGTGACTCATAAGTTACTAGGACAAATTTTATGGTTGCTGGTTAAAAAATTGGAAGGAAAATTTCGCATTCAATGATACTACTTTATTTATTTATTTATTTATTTATTTATTTATTTATTTATAGGTACTGAAGAGGTACTGAAGGAAAATTTCGCATTCAATGATACTACTTTATTTATTTATTTATTTATTTATTTATTTATTTATTTATTTAAAGGTACTGAAAACTAAATACCTTGTAAGAACAGTCCCTAGTTTCCACCATCCATAGTCAGCCGGGATTGACACTTTAACATCTTTCACCCAGACATTTTGTTCACATTTTTTTAAGAAAAAAAAAATGAATACATTGCTTAAAAATTGTTTGGGTATTTCTTAATAAAATTTTAGATACAAGCACACCTCAATTTTTCTTTCTTTATTTTTAAAAAAATAGATATTTTTGTTGATTTCAGAAAGGAAGGGAGAGAGAGATAGAAACATCAATGATGAGAGAGAATCATTGATCGGGATGGGAGAGAGAGAGAGATAGAAACATCAATGATGAGAGAGAATCATTGATCAGCTGCCTCCTGCACGCACCTTACTGGAGATCGAGCCCACAACCTGGGCATGTGTCATTGACCAGAATCGAACCCGGGACCCTTCAGTCTCTAGGCCAATGCTCTAACCACTGAGCAACACCAGCTATGGCAGACACACCTGGTTTTATTGCACTTTGCTATATTGTGCTTTGCTATATTGTTGCATTTTTACAAATTGAAAGCAATACCCTCCACCAGCAAAAAGATTATGACTTGCTCTATTGCCATACTGCCTTTATTACCATGATCTGGATCTGAACCCACAGTATCTGGGGCATATGCCTTATAGCTAAGGTCTTCTAACTCCATTTCCCTACCCTGAAATCTATCCTCTTCTCTAGACTAAAATCATTCAGAATGTGGCATGAAACTTCACAACTTTGTGTGTTGTTATTGTTTTTTAAATTTTGGGGGACCGGGCTGCCTGGATTTGAATCCTGACTCTTTCACTTCCTTTTTGTAGGCCTTTGAGAAGATCCTGAAACTTCCTGCCTCAGTCTTCCCATCCATAGAATGGAATAATAGTGCCTGTGACATAAGGATGTTGTCAGGAATACATGAGTGACTCCAAAGTCCAACAGTACCTGGTACAGAAAAAGCATTTAGAATCTAGCTATTGTAAGGTAAGCAGAAAATATATAATGCTGTTTTATGTATTTTGACTTAGATAAATAATGTACTGCCATATATATTTTTTTGCAACATTTTTTCTCATTTTATTTTTGAAGTCTAGCCATGGAGATATACATAGATCTAAATTATTTCTTTTAACTATGTTATGATATTCCATCTGCATTTATACATTTCATTATTGGTGGTCATTGAAGATTTTACTATTTTTTTTTTATATTACACATAACATAGTGAACATTCTAGAGCAATACCTTTGTGAATTATGTAAGATTACTTCTCTTGGGTCATATTTAGAAATGAAATTACTGGATGTATCCATTTCCATTTATTGTCATATTGCCTTCCAAAGTTGCCTTTGCCTTTAATTAAGTACTCATAATTATCTCCTAATTAATGGCTCTGCCTTCAGTCTGACCTCACCCATCTTCAACAGTCACCCAAATCTTTATAATTCCATAATACAATACTGTGATTTCTATTTTTGAAACGTCTTTTGGTTGTAGCCAAGTTAATTTACTTAGGTAATAATGTCTATATGTTGAAAAAAGGACATCAATCAGTATTATGTTTAATATGATTAGTTTAAATTTTTATTTAGCTTTCTTAATGCTATCTTTTCCCCACAAAGATACTTTATATTGGTCGCAATTTCTATGGCTTCTTAGAGATATTTTTAGATTTTACCTGCAGATCATATTACCAGGCTGGTGGTAACTAAAAGAGTTCTGAAAGACACAGTGTCCAAATGAATTTAGTAGCTTTGAAAGGCAACATTGTGTATTTGTTTGGGAGACTGGTGGAAAAAAAACAGATGAGGATAATTTATTGCCGACCTATTATACTTATGCTCTTATGTATTGTTTTTCTAGTATACCACACATTTTATGTATAGAACTAGAGGCCCAGTGTATGGATTTGTGTACTGGTGGGGTTCCTCGGCCTGGCCTGCAGGGACTGGGCTGAAACCGGCTCTCAGACTTCCCCTGAAGGGTCCCAGATTGCAAGAGGATGGATCTCGGGTGACACACCCTGGAATCCGGCTCCCTCCTGCTGCCAAGTGCCTGCAGCTCAGCAGCTCCTGCTTGGAGTGTCTGTCCCCTGGTGGTCAGTGCGCGTCATAGCTGTTGGCTGGTCGGTTGGTCGGCCAGTCACTTAGGCTTTTATATATATATTATAGATATATACGGTAAAACCTCAATATAATGGACTAATTAGAACATCAGGTGGCATGTGTTTAAACTGCTGCAGAAAGTCATACCATGTGACAACCAAAACAATTACTCCTCTAGATGCAGTGTGATCACGTGCTAATCATTCCCCAAGCATTGTTTACTAGAGGTGACTCTTGGATTTAAATATGTAAACTATAGTTGTAGATATTTAATATTTACTTGTCTGTGAAATTATTAGTGTTTTTTCCAACATATTTGCTAAAATTTGTTAAAATAAGTGAATTAATAACAAAAAAATAACCTGTTCATTTAATTATAAGCAAATCTTAGTGAAAAGCATTTTAAGCCCTGGCTGATGTAGCTCATTTGGTTGAAGCAACATCCTGTATACAAAGGTTGTAAGTTAATTCTTGGTCAAGGAACATACGAAGGCAGCCCAATTGATATATCTCTCTTACATGTATATTTCTCTTTCTCCTCCCTCTCTCTCTCTCTCTCTCTCTCTCTCTCTCTCTCTCTGTCTTCCTTCCTTCCTTCCTCTCTAAAATTTTTTTTTAAAAAGAACAAAAAGCATTTTAAAATTAACAGGGTGTTAATTTTCACATATGACATACAGACCAGAAATTTTGTTTGTTAAATTCAAAGTCTATTAAGTCGAACAATTTGCTGTACTCTGAACTTTGGTGTAAAGTAATATGGGACAGGAAAAGCTCATACTAATTGCATACTATTTTGCACTGTAAATAATCTGTTCATTTACTGTTTCCAAATATCCCCCCCTCCCCATAGTTGAAGTACAAGGTAAAAATTAACTAGTTTGAATTACCTCTTTTTTTCTTCAGCCATTGTTTTAAATAATGAACAGGCTGAATTATGATAATCAGGGTTTGATTAATCAGGGCTTATTTATATTGGTTTAGGAACCTCCAAATTGAACTTGAGTTTCATATGTTTCCAGATTATTTCTATCTAAAAAATAAAAATAAAATTGCCACTTATTCCATAGGTTTAAAGGTTTATTTTGTGAACATATGCTAAGAACTTTTACTCTTTAAAACAAATATCTCATTAGTATAAAATAGAAAATATACACATATTTGTGCATTTAACAGGCCTTGAGATTACTGAAAGTTTGAGGGAAAAGTTGTCTTAAAAAATTCATGACATATTAGTAGCTTCTCGTTTTTAACTCTAAGGTGGCCCATTTAAATAACATTGAAAATATGCATGTTTGCAATAGTATTTAACAATAAAAAATAATGACCTTTTATATAACAGTCATTTGTGTTTTTAAATCTGTTTGAGTTTAAGCCCATGGGAGTAAATTTAATTATAAGCAAATTGCTTATAGCTCGTGCTGAAAGAATGTAGGATTAGGATTATGGCAAGGCTTTGACTATCATGCCGAATTTTATAACAGTGATTTGTAACATTTATCTCGATGTCATTTATATGTTCAAAATGTTTAGCATCTATATTTCCAGGTAGTAATTGAAGGAACATGGATGTATTGAAAAAGGCATGGGTGTCCATACGAGGTTTTTAAATTAGGAGGCAGTTACCAGATAAAGTTTATGTTTCAGAACAATAACTGAGACAGCATCAATAAATTGATCTATTGGCGGGGGAGAGACTAGACTTAAGAAGACCAATTAGGAGCTTTAACCTCAGCCTAGGTGAGGAGATGAAACCCTGAACTCTCTTAATGGCATTTGGAATAGATAGTTTGAAGATAGAGGTTTCTAAGGTAAACAACTTGGTGATTATTGCATTAAAAGAATAGAACATAATGCTGGCTGGTTTGGCTCAGTGGATAGAGCGTCGGTCTGCGGACTGAAGGGTCCCAGGATTGATTCAGGTCAAGGGCATATGCAGGGGTTGCAGGCTCGATCCCCAGTAGGGGGTGTGCAGGAGGCATCCGATCAATGATTCTCTCTCATCATTGATGCTTCTATCTCTCCCTCTCCCTCTCCCTCTCTGAAACCAAGAATAGAATATAAGGGGCCTGATTTTCCTAAGTCATAACTTTGTCAGGGTTATGACTTACTCTAAATTTTAGTGAAGGGGAAGAGTCTCTTAATCTTTTAACTGTCAGATTCTCCTTCCTCCTGTCACACTTGGATTTTAGTGAATCAGAGCACAGTGTTGGCTAAATATTACCTGTGGCATTTAATATGAAAATAACAAAATATTTTCTATACAGATTACTATTCATACATTTTGGTATAATGTAACTAAATGTTTATTTCCTTTAAAGTAAAAAGCAGTTTCACATGTAAAAGCCACACTTTTGATTGACCTACCTTATCTTTTCTAGAGAAGCTGAAACTACTTTGTTTGTCCTATATCTTTGACAGTAATTGCCTAACAACATATCAATAAGCCAGTGATATCTACTAGTTTGTATTATGCTACATTACCTTCAGTTATTTCCCATCATAGATTTTTATGAAGTTCTGAAAAATCATATCAATTTAATTAAAGAAAACTAAAGCCATAGTGGAATGTATTTGTGTGTTGCTGCATAACAGCCAGATTTATCAGCTTGAAGCCACAGACATTTATGATCTCAAAGTCTCTGAGAATCAGGAATTTGGGAGCACCTTAGCCGGATGATTCTGGCACCAGATCTCTTGAATGGGCGGAACTAACTAAAAGTTTGAATGGAGCTGGAGGATCTGACCCCAAGAAGGCTCACTCACGTGACTATTGTCAAAAGTCCTCAGCCCTTCATTGTATTTTGGCAGGAAGCCATAGTTCCTTGCCTTGTGCCTGTCTCCATGGGGTTTCTGGAGTGTGTTAATGCTATGACAGGTGGCTTTTCCCAGTGCAAGTGATCCAAGGAAGACTTTGTCAAGGAAGCCAAAGTGCTCTCTGACCCAATCTGGAAAGGCACACACTGTCACTTCTGCCCCATTCTGTCGGCTAGAAGTGAGTTATAATGATCAGCCTTCATTCAAGGAGAGGATTAAGTGTCACTTTTTGATGACAGGAGTTTTAAAGAATTTGTGAACATGTTTTAAAACCACCAGTGATGTATTTGGGAATTAAACAATAGGGTTTTCAAGTAGAGGCTGACTAATCTAATGTGCTTTTAGGTAAGACCTACTCTAAATCAGTCATTTCTCTAAAATTCAGGCTACATTAACCTTGTAGATTATGGTTCAGTGATACTTTCTTATTGGATTCTTGGCAGATATCCTAATATATAAAAAGCCGGGGCCATTACGAACTGTGTTTTTTAAGGGCTATACCGAAAAAATAATAGGAATATGCTTTTTGATGGGTGATGTTAAGATAGCATAAAGTGCTTAAAAATGTTAACTTAATAACATTTATAGTAGTCTAACAAAGGTAATAGTTCTAACAAAGGTAATAGTTCTCTAACAAAAACGCGTATTCTCTTCAACTCTTCCTACTTGATAGCAGTTTTTCTCATTTCATTTTTAGGTTTAAAAGCATCGAATGGAATCGGTTTGCATTCCAAAACTGGACCAACACAAAGGCTTGATATCGTGGCATGAGGAGCCAACAAGCAATGTCATCTGATGAACAAGAGAGAGTCTTGTGTTACAATGGTGAAGTCCTTGTTTTTAAATTGTCTGAAGGAAGTTTTGCAGATCAAGGGCCTGCAGAAGCACCCATGTTACACGTCAGAAGAATGGTGTTTGACGGAGAAACAAGTGCATTTGTTCAGAAGTCCACTGGCTCCTACAGCATAAAGGAAGAAAACTCTCATTTAAAAATCATGTGTTGCGACTGTGTGTCAGATTTCCGAACTGGAATGAACCTCCCTTATATCATGATACAATGCAATGAAAAGAAGAATGTTTCCAAATATCTTCTACTGTTTCTTCACAGTACCAATAAATTTGAAAAACGTTTGAGTTTTAGCCTAGCCCATGAGTTGAAGGATGGCATAAGGGTCTTTAACGGGCCTTTGATTATTTGGAAACATGATAAAACATTCTTCTATATCTCTCCCCAAACTGGCAAAGTTAGTACTGTGTCCGTTAACTTTTCCTCTATAGAGTGGGCAGGGGAGATCGAAAATCTAGGTATGGTTTTATTAGGACAAAAGGAATGTAATTTATCTGCGGAGGAGAGCACCTCTAAGCCTTCAACATCTGATTATGCATTTTGGAACACCAGATTTTGTGTATACTTTCTTGAAAGTGAAGAACTAATAAGTGATACATACATTATCCCTCCTGCTTATAGCAGTGTGATCACTTGTGTGCATGTCTGTGCAACTGAGTTCGTCAACAACAAGCTAAGAATGTCTTTGCTTGCCCTTACTCAGAGGAATCAGTTGATTTCATTCCAGAATGGGACTCCGAAAACTGTCTGTCAGCTTCCGTTTGAAGATCCTCGTGCAGTTCAACTTCTGGAGGATTCAGACGGAGAACGCCTTCTCATTGTGTCCTTTAGGTCCAGTGCTTGCGGTGTTTGGGAAGAGAACTTCCAGGTACAGTACTTATTCTCCTAATTATGCACTCTGTGTAGTCTTAGATCTAGTAAGCACTTCTACACTTAATAACGTTCATCCTGGAGTCTTATTATCCAAGTCAACCTTCAGTGCTGCACTTAGAAGAAGATCATATATACTCTCTCTCTCTCTCTCTCTTTTTTTTTTTAGAGTTATCGGAATACTACCTGGTAAAGGTTTTGCCTTGCCATTTTGGATCATAAAACCTTTGCGTTATTTGGAAATGTATAAATATAGAACTATAATTATTACGTATTTATTTGTCTTTTAGTTTTTTGATAGAGTCTTTTGGGTTTTTTATGTATAATATCATGTCATCTGCAAATAAGGACAATTTTACTTCTTCTTTTCCAATTTGGACGCCTTTTATTTCTTCTTCTTGTCTAATTGCAATGGCTAGTACTTCCAGTACTGTGTCAAACAGGAGTGGTGAGAGTGGGCATCCCTGTCTTGTTCCTGTTATTTGTCTTTTAATGTGACTGTCTTCAATTTTTATAATGTGATGACTAGATGTGTATTTTTACTCAGAATCTATAGTAACAAAAGCATAATATGCTAATTAGGCCAGATGTCCTTCTGGACGACCTTCCAGATAAAGCCGGGGCAATGAGGGCCAAGGTGGCTGTCGCTGTAGTGGGGGTTGATTCCCTTGCACGAATTTCGTGCATTGGGCCTCCAGTAAAATTATAAGTGATTTGACTTCGTAAGCCTTCTTAGAAAACTCCAATAAGTTTAACTTTTTAAAATCTGGTATTTATCTATTTTAACTTAAAATCTAGAGGAATTTCTTTAAATGTGCTATTATCCTTTAAGAAATAATTAATTCTTCTCCAGAGATAAGAGTGATGTGCTATTTTTTCTAAAATCTTGCTTAGAGAATTTTATGATGTTATATTTTGAAACTCAGAGTTACTCTTAGCAAGCATTCACATTTTATCCACATTTACAGTAGTTGTATCTTTTTAAAAAATATATTTTATTAATTTTTTTACAGAGAGGAAGAGAGAGGAATAGAGAGTTAGAAACATCAATGAGAGAGAATCATCGATCAGCTGCCTCTTGCACACCCCCTACTGGGGATGTGCCTGCAACCAAGGTACATGCCCTTGACCGGAATCGAACCTGGGACCTTTCAGTCCGCAGGCTGATGCTCTATCCATTGAGCCAAACTGGTCCCGGCTGTAGTTGTAGCTTTTAATGTATGGTTTGGAAATTGCTTTAAAATACTTGCTGGTAGTGAGTGTTCAATAACAGGTAAGAAAGGGGAAAAATGAATAGGAATTTGGAGGTTTATAACAGAGCATCAGCACCAATAATATTTCTCTGACCCTGATATTTGGTAGCACTGCATTCTCCTGGCTTTATATCTATATCAGCTCATTCAGGTGTGTGATGTGAGTGTTTACAGTTCAAGAAAAGTAATCATTACTTGTCAGAAATGTCTCTTCCAAAAGTGATTTTTTTTAGTATATTGTATATATAACTTTTTAGGTTAGAGATAGTGCCTTCCATTGTGTGCCCTAGCCATTTAATTAGAAGCTCAATTACACTTTCTATTATGCATTATCACCTTGGTATAGAATATTGATAAATATTTTCGAAAGTTTGGGGGACATTTTTTTTTATGTGCATCGTTACTTTCTGTATGTGGAGATGTCAGGTTGAAATTGTGTTTTATCAGACTCTGCCTTATAAATTACCTTTATGGTAATAGGGATTGTATAACCATATTCATTCTCTGTTACACATAAAGGACTTAAGTCCTCAAAAGGAAAATAATTTGAAAGCTATCCTGTTTAATTTGCAAGCAGTCTTGTAAAAGCACATTGTCCTTTTACTTGAAGGTTATTTGGAAGGTAGCATTTTCTCTTTATACTTCTTTTCCTTTCAAGAAATGGTGGCGGGAAATCAGCTGGTAAAGCCCATAATCCTTATTGGGGTCAGGGTCATGGAAAGAACACACTTAACCCCGGATTGAATCCCAACTGAGCCATTTACTAGTCTTACCTTCAGGAAAGTATTTCATTTCTGTGAGCCCATTTTCTGACTTTATGACATTGAAATCATCCTGCCTCTTGAGAGGGGAGCATTGAATTAAATGACATTGTGAAGTGTCTAGCACAGTGCTTGGCACATCGGAGAAGCTCAGTAAGTGGTGGCTATTATTATTAGGCTTGGACCTACCTAAGGTCCTTTTCTTGCCCGGGTAAGGAAAAACCAGTTCCCTTGTGCCTCATTAATTCACTGAGGATGGTCCCACCTTCCCTGAAGTGCGTCCCCTGCTTGGCCACTGTAGAGCACTGCACTAAGGCATCACCCAGAACAGGGGACTGTCACTCCCTGTGAGTCTACAATAACTGGTGGCCTCCTTGTCTTCCTGTGTTCTAGGATTCTTTCTCCGCAGTGGGTCACCATCCTTTCCACAAGTTACCCGAGGCCCTACCACTGCAGCTATTTATTTATTTTAGCTGAATCCCCAAGTAGGTCCATTCCCCCCCCCCCATTTTTTTTATTAAGGTATTATATGTGTTACATATCTTCCCATTGTGCACACCCCCCCACTCGCTTACATGCCCTCACCCCCCAGTGTTTTGCGTCCATTGGTTATGCTTATATGCATGCATACAAGTCCTTCGGTAGATCTCTTATCTCCTCCACCTCTCCCTAACCTTCCCGCTGTAATTTGACAGTCTGTTTGATGCTTTACTGCCTCTGTATCTATTTTTTTGTTCATCAGTTTATAATGTTCTTTATTATCCACAAATGAGTGAGATCATGTGGTATTTTTATTTCATTGACTGGGTTATTTCACTTAGAATAATGATCTCCAGTTCCATCCAGGTTGCAGCAAATGGTAAGAATGCCTTCTTTTTGATGGCAGCGTAATATTCCATTGTGTAGATGTACCATAGTTTTCTGATCCATTCATCTGCTGATGGGCACCTAGGCCGATTCCAAATCTTAGCTATTGTAAATTGTGCTGCTATGAATATAGGGGTGCATATATCCTTTCTGATTGGTATTTCTAGTTTCTCAGATTACTTTAAAAGTGGGAATAAATGCTAAGAATCTACAAATAAAGGGAGAGGAGAGTTGAGGGAAGTAATTGCATGAACAATTACACTTAGTTTAACAGTTAAGACAAAAAAAAGTAAATATAGCAGGTTTTACAGTTGAACGGAACATACACTGTTAAGGGGAAAATATTTTCTAACATTGAGTTCTGAGAGGAATTTACTGTACACACCCCTGACCGGAATGAACCTGGGACGTTCCAGTCTGCAGACCGACGCTCTATCCACTGAGCCAAACCGGTTTCAGCTATAAACCCACTTTCCTCCTACCTTGTAGAAATCAGCTTATGGTAGTGAGGGCCATCACTAAATTAAACATGTTAGAGAAAGAAATTTCACTAGAATTTTTCACGAGAAACTTTAGAACTTCCAAAATAGTCTTGAGAAGTATGAGATTTTATAATAAAATTTTAATACAGAAATCAGCCATGTTATAGTTCCTGGATAAATGTTGATAAAATATTGAATTTAAGTATCTTGATATTTATAAAGGTATATAACTCCTTATGTTTCCAGTTTATATTAGTACCATTTTCATTACTTGTTTATAAGATTGAAGATAAGTGACAACTACATGCAACAAAAGGATTTAGTTACTTTCACCTCTGATTTTTTTTTCCTTCTCTGTTCCTTATTACATTCAGGTTGCTGCTAAGTGGGAACAAATTAGCTCAGTACTCATCGATGACTTTATTGGAACTGGAACAGAACAAGTGCTGCTACTTTTCAAGGACTCCTTACATTCGGATTGCCTGAGTTCATTTAAAATAACAGATATTGATAGCATAAAGTATTCAGTAAGTACTGTTTACTTTTTCTGCATTACTTGAAGAACCATTTTTGGAAAATCTGAGTGCTTGAAAGCTTTTGACCCACTATTTAAGTATTTGTGATTTCATACTTTAAAGCTTTTGACCCACTATTTAAGTATTTGTGATGACAACTTCTGAACTTTAAAAGTACATGGATTGAATCTTTTAGAAATTCAGTCATATGCCACTTAACAACGGGGATATGTTCTGAGAAATGTGTCCTTAGGCCATCTGTCATCGTGCAAACATCATAGAGTGCACTTACACAAATCTAGGTGGTATAGCCTGCTACATACTTCGGCTAGGTTACAAATCAACACAGAATGGTACTATATGAATACTTTAAGCAATTGTAACAATGGTATTTGTGTATCTAAACATATCAAAGCATAGAAAAGGCATGGTAAAAATATGGTATAAAAGATAAAAAATGATACACCTCCGTAGGGCACTTACCATGAATGGAGCTTGCAGGACTGGAAATTGCTCTGGATGAGGCAGTGAGTGGTGAGTAAACGTGAAGGCCTAGGACACATATAGACTTTAGAGACACTGTATACTTAGGCTATACTAAGTTTATAAACAACATGCGATTAAGTGAAGCATAAGATACAATGATGCAATCAAGAGATGCGGTAAACATGAGATGTATGAGGCTGCTGCTGGTGTAATAAGGCATACTATTTTACAACAAACGTTTGTATAAGTAGAAAGAGAACAATAAAAATTCTAATATAGCCCAGCCAGGTGTAGCTCAGTGGTTGAGTGTCGATCCAGGAACCAAGAGGTCACCAATTCAATTCCTGGTCAGGGCATATGCCCAGGTTGTAGGCTCAATCCCCAGTGGGGTGCATTCAGGAGGCAGCCAATCAATGATTCTCTCTCATCATTGATATTTTTATCTCTCCCTCTCCCTTCCTCTCTGAAATCAATAAAAATATATTTTTAAAAATTCCCAATATAGTAAATCTATAAACTAGTGATAGTTTATTATCATTATCAAGTGTTATGTACTGGATGTAATTGTATGTGTTATACAGTGTACATATGCCTATACATTTATATGACTGGCAGTGCATTTGGTTTATTTATACTGTATCACCAAAAACATGTGAATAATGCATTGTCCTACAATGTTCTGATGGGTCCAGTGTCACTAGGTGATAGGAAACTTTCATGTCCATTTTATAATCTTATAAGACCATAGTTGTATATGTGGTCTGTTGTTGACAGAAATGTTACATGATAAATGATTTATGAATGGACTGTCCTTTCAACAAATGCCTAGGTTGTGTAACTGCACTCTATGATGTTTGCACAATAGAAATTGACTCTGCTTTTCACTATAGTATATCTGTTGGCCAGTCAAATGATAAAAACACTGTAAATTAACTTATTATTGCTTCTGAAAATCCTTTTATATCAATAACATGATAATTTTGGATTAACTAAAGCATAAAATGAAGTGAAACTGCTTTATTAAAAGAAGCAATAATTCATAATATCTTAAGATTTGAGACATAAGGGAAATGATACTCCTGAAGTTTCAGATCTATATAAAATGCCTTTGAGCCTCAGTTTTGTTCATCAATAAAATGAGGGTAATTCTCATTTTCTCTAGTTATGGGATTTTAGGATTTTATAAAAATCCAGTAAGCTGATATTTTTTGAAGCATTATATAACTATTACATAGGTGGTAATAGTAGTAATTATAATTTTTTCTGGTTAATTATGGGGAAAATATATATTTTGTATTTTATATAATAGTGTCTAACATAGAAAATTGTCCTTTGATTGGATAAACTTTAATTGTATGTTAATATTATGAATTTTCAATATCAAATTTTCAGTTTCAGTATATTTATTTATTTATTAGATTCAAACATTGGATTGCAATGAAGATGATTTATTTGAAGAGAAAGAAGATAATAGATATATGGTGATTCCAGCTCTGAAAAGAAGAGTGAAAGTTAGTATCTATGTTTGCTTTGCTTTTTTGGATCAGTGCTATTTTAAATGAAAACAAACATAGAAAGAAAGTTCTTTAAAATATAAGCAACTCAGTGATTGGGAAACATAGTATTTAAAGGATCTTTACTTTTTCTGTACTTCTGTAAAAGCTATTATGACATTATAGATAAATGTAGTATCTAAAAATCATACCTTTTTTTAGTAAGATTATGTATATTTAATAAACTTCATAAGATAAAATATAAGAAACTCATTTTTTTTGGCTTTTTAAAAAATCTTTATTGTTGATTAGAGATGTCCCTCTCCCCTCCCCCCCCCCCGCCAATTGCCCTCTTCTACCCAGTTTCTGTCCTGCCCCAGGCCTTTGCCCCCTATTGTCTGTGTCCATAGGTAACGCATATATGCATGTAAGATTTTTGTCTATTCTCTTCCCGCCCTCACCCTTCCATTTCCATGCCTCTGATTCTATTTTATTCACCAGTTTATTCTGTTCATTTTTTATTTCAAATCATGTCAGATTTCCTATTTGTTTATTTTGATTTTTAGATTTAATTGTTGATAGATATGTATTTGTTGCCATTTTGTTGTTCATATTTCTTATCTTTTTCTTCTTCCTCCTCTTCTTTTTTTTTTAATATATTTTATTGATTTTTTACAGAGAGGAAGGGAGAGAGATAGAGAGCTAGAAACGTCGATGAGAGAGAAACATCGACCAGCTGCCTCTTGCCCACCCCCTACTGTGGATGTGCCTGCAACCAATGTACATGTCCTTGCCCGGAATCAAACCTGGGACCTTTCAGTCCACAGACCGACGCTCTACCACTGAGCCAAGCCGGCTTCAGTTTTCCTCCTCTTCTTAAAGAATACCCTTCAACATTTCATATAAAACTGGTTTGGTGGTAATGAACTCTTTAGCTTGTTCTTGTCTGTGAAGATCTTTATCTGACATTCAATTTTAAATGATAGCTTTGCTGGGTAGAGTAATCTTGGTTGTATGTCCTTGCTATTCATTACTTTGAATATTTCTTTCCACTCCCTTCAGGCCTGCATAGTTTCTGTTGAGAAATCAGCTGACAGTCTTTCGGGCATTCCCTGTAGGTAACGTAACTGTTTTTTTCTTGCTGCTTTTAAGATTCTCTCTTTGTCTTTAGCCCTTTGCATTTTAATTATGATGTGTCTTGGTGTGGTCCTCTTTGGGTTCCTTTTGTTTGGAACTCTGTTCTTTCTGGACTTGTAAGTTTATTTCTTTCACCAGGTAGTGGAAGTTTTCTGTCGTTATTTCTTCAAATAGATTTTCAATATCTTGCTCTCTCTCTTCTTCTGGCACCCCTATGATGCGAATGTTGGTACGCTTGAAGTTGTCCCAGTGGCTCTTTACACTGCCTTCATATTTTTGGATTCTTTTTTCTTTTTGCTCTTCAGATTGGATGTTTTTTGCTTTCTCATATTTCATATCATTGATTTGATTCTCAGAATACTCCATTCTACTATTGAATCCTTGTATATTATTTTTTATTTCAATTAGTGTAGCTTAATCTGCAACTGGTCCTTCTCCATTTTTTTGAGGTTTCTAGAAGATTCTTAAGTAACCTTATAGCCATGGTTTCTATATCCAGTAGTTTGCTTTCTTCCATTTCTTTCATTTGTGACATGTTTCTTTGTCTCTACATTTTGGCTGCTTCCCTGTGTTTGCTTCTATGAATTGGATAGAACTGCTATGTCTCCTTGAGTTGGTAAAGTGTCCTTGTGTAGTGGGTGTCCGATAGGGCCCAGTGGCTCAGTGTCCCCAGTCACCTGAGCTGGATGCTCTAGGTGCATCACTCTGTGGGCTGTGAGCACAGTCTTGCTGTAGTTGAGACTTGATTGCTGTGTCACTGGTAGGAATTGACCGCTAGGCCAATAGGCTATGAGGACCAGCTGTGACTACCATGGGAGAGCTGCTGTGCAGGAGACACCCTTATGGAGCAGGACTTGGCTTCAGTGGGGCTTTGGTGCTCACTGAGTCTATCCCTTATGAATGTGTAGAGTTCTAATCTGATATGGTCTCCCACTGACCACTGAGTACACTGGCTCTTGGTTCTCCAGGGAGTTGCAAAGTCAGCCACTGCCTGAGGCCACCCAGCAGGAACTATAGCAAGAGCTGCAGATTCCTCCTCTTTGAATCAGGTTTGGAAGTGCCCAGATGAGGCCCAGCCATAAGACAAGGCTGGGCCTTGGCCCTCTATTGATAGGTTTGGGGCTCCCTGACCCAGCTGCAGCTTGCTTGAGAGACCCTAGCCTGAGCAAGGACAGGCCATTCATATGCAAAAGCCACTGCACACAACTGGCGTTGGGTTCTGAATTGAATGAGGTGAAATCTTAGGGACTCACCAGGGCAGAGCAAACAGAAATAGCTGCAAGTCAGCCCTGCCACTGACTGGGGAGGTCCCAGTAGAGAAACAATGATCCCTGCGAGCACCTTCATCTGGGAGAAATCTACCCCTGAGTGCCTGCCCCAATGCCAGTCAGTCCAGTTCCTCATCACATGTGTCTGTGTCCCCCAAAGCTTTGCCCTGGTGCTGGAGCTCAGAGGAAGCATGACCTTTTAAGTTCAGTTTGTGGTCACTGAGCCCCAGTCTACACTGGTTTTTACAGCCAATAGTTCTTACTGCCCGTAGAATATATGCAAATGTATATAGAGATGTAATTATAAGATGTTCCTTTGTAACTTGACCTTTTCCATTTGTAAAAATTTTCAAATATACAGACATGTTCAAAGAATAGTATTGTGATTATCCCACATTGATTCAACTATTGTTCCTGTTGAAAAAAATCATATTTGCCTCATCTATTTGTGCTTGTGTACCTATATGTGTACATTTTTGCAGAATCATTTGAAAGTTGCAGATATTATACTACTTCACTCTTACATATTTTAGCAAGAATCTCCTAAAATTAAGGATATTCTATGTAACCAAAACACCATTATTGCACTTAAAAATTAATAAAAACCCTTAGTCATAATTACTGTTCAGATGTCTTTAACCACCACAAAAATGGTTTTTTAAATCCTCACCTGAGGATATGCTTATTCATTTTAGAGAGAGAGAGAGAGAGAGAGAGAGAGAGAGAGAGAGAGAGAGAGAAATCTATGTGACAGAGAACATCGATTGGTTGCCTTCCATAGGTGCCCTCACCAGGAGTTGAACTCTAAACCTAGGTATGTGGTCTGATGGGGAATTGAACCCGGAAACTTTCAGTATATGGGGTGACGCTCCAACCAACTGAGCTACATCAGCCAGGACAAAAAAGTTTTTTATAGTTATTTTTTTCAGGATCCAAAGTTTACACTTCCATGTGATTATTATAACTCTCATTGATCTTTTTTATTTCGAATAATGCCCCCTCCCTTATTTTTTAAATGATTCCAATGAGCAGGCCAGGTGAGGTGCTCCTCCTTTTGGATTTGTCCATTTCCTATTGATATTATTTACCCTTTTCCTCTATCTATCCCTGGACAACTTTTCTGTAAAAGGCTAGACAGTAAATATTTATACATTGCAGGCATTTAAAAATTATTTGGAACTATAGTAATTATTACAGTGAATTCACCAACTGCTTACTGAACACATGCTAGACATGAATGTGAACAATGGATAAATGAAATATCATAGTGGACGTAGAACCATAACGGAAAAGATTGATCACATTGAAAACTTTTGTACTCGGAACAAAGTAAAATAAACCAAAAGACAAATTGTGTAGTAAGAAACTGTAACAGAACAGAGGATTAATTTTCTTAATATAAATATATATTCTGAAGAAAACCAAGATGGTAATTTAGGCAAATTCCAATACTCACCGCCTCCCACAACCACATCAAAATCACAACTAAAATACAGAACAACCATCATTCAGAACTGACTGAAAGCTGGCTGAATAGAAGTCTTACAACTAGAAGTAAAGAAGAAAGCACACTGAGACTGGTAAGAGGGATGGAGGCACCCAACAGGCTGGTCCGGCATCAATGAGCGCCATGTTTTTAATTGGGAGGAAGATTGTACCTGTGGAGGCCGAGGTGAGGAACAAGAAGAAAGCACATCGCCCTAACTGGTTGGGCTCAGTGGATAGAACTTCAGCCTGCAGACTCAAGGGTCCCAAGTTCAAGGGCATGTACCTTGGTTGCAGGCACATCTCCAGTGGGGGGTGTGCAGGAGGCAGCTAGCTGATCGATGTTTCTCTCTCATCAATGTTTCTAACTCTCTATCCCTCTCCTTCTTCTCTGTAAAAATCAATAAAACATATTTTTAAAAAAGAAGAAAGTACATTGATACTGGTAGGAGAGGCAAAAGTGTGGAAGGGAACTTGGGAGAGCAGGACCTTGGAGAAACTTGTGCACATATACAGGAATGTTCACAGCAACATTGTAATACAACACATCTGGACATAGCCCAGATGTCCATCAACAGCGGACTAGGGAAGTAAGCTAGTGAAGTTGTATGATGGCATATTACAGAGCAATGAAAGTCATGAACCACAGCTGCTTGTGACAAATGGATGACACTTAAACCTAATACATACAGAATGATTCCACTTATAAAAAGTTCAGAAGTAAAGGGTCAGGGTAATGCTGCCTCCAGTGGAGAAAGAGAGGACCCACAGACAGCTACCGGAGTGTTACGTTTTGACTTGGGTGTTGTTTCATGCTTGTTAACTTCATTAGTCTGTAAACTGTTCTTTGTGTGTAGTATGTACTCTTCTGCATGCATGAGAGAGATCAGGGTAAAAAGAACAAAAAGCAAGGTTTGCTATCATGCAATCTAGTATGCTCCTCTATTTGGTTTTGTGTGTTGGGAGAAGCAAAGCATTCCTTCAAATACACTACTTAGAAAAATTCTGGAAAGGTAAGCACTCTGTTGGCTGCACAAATGGGATTAAGGCTGTATGAAGGGAAGGTGTGATGTGCTTTTATGTTATTTAAATTTCTTACCATATGCTTATTTTCAATAGTTTTATAACAAAAGTTCATAATAAAATATTTGAGTCTAATGATTTACCATTTAGTCCTGAAGCAGAGGGCATGTTGAGGGGTGTAGGGAAGAAAGAACAGGATCATTTCTGAGGGGGTCCTTATTTTCAGTCTGACCACATATTCCTCTCTTCATTCCCCCCCTCTTCAGCCGTCTCTGATTTGCTCCACCTCTGATGGGTACATCTTTCTTCCCATCAATTACAAATTAGCAAATGAGTGATGGAGTGTGAATGAGATGGAGCCCACAGAATTAGGTCAACGGATAAAGTTTTTAAAGTATTAGCTAGCTACTTTGCATGGTGAGGTAAAATATGATTCAGTCTTCATTCTCCAACTTCTATTCATTGATACAAAGAAAGAATGTACCTGCCTTGAAATGTAATTTAAAGAAAGGAATTTAAAAATAGGATGTATTGTGTTTTTCAATCTAGAAAAGCATCTGTATTAAAAACTGGGTTAATAGTTAAAGAGTCTCAAATATCCATCTGAAATGAAAGTTTCTATCAATTCAATGAGGCAACTCTTTAGATTTTCAGAAACAAAATGTATTTCATGAATGTGTCATATTTTGTGCTGAAATCTTTATCTGGTACAATAAAAGGAATGGATTGTTCTATGCCTAATTCAGAGCTAATTTCCCCCCAGTAGTTAAGAGTCAATGCTAGTACTGAGTTTATTAGCACAAAAATAAATGTGTGACAGCTTGGAGGCTGTTAATGTGTTATCTTAAATTTTTTAAATAAAGGTTATATGCACAGAGGATTTCAAATAGTATCAAATTAAAAGTGACTATTTCTATTTATAATTATGTCTTTTGGTTTCTGAAACCGATATTATTTTAACAAGAAAAACAATTTCCTTGTGGGGGTAGGAGTGTTGGTAGACTTTGATTTTTATTCATATTGATCGGACTTGCTCATAGTTATATTGATTGATTATTAAACTCACTAGTGAAACTAATGCTAATATATTGGCATTCTCTCAATTTCATATGTACAATTGCAGTTACTTGCTGTGTTTTCTTTTGTCATTAGAGACTTAAAAATTTACAAGTAAAATAATTTTTGCTCTGAGAAGTATTCTCTGCTTTTCTATAGAAAAATGAATTAATAGGCAGATTTGGAGAGAGCACTTCCTGAATTAATGGGATGTCAGTTTTCATTTGAAACTGTGTCTCCGGCAATGATTTTTCTTTCTACTTTACAGGTTGGTTTGGCTTGTATTCAGGACGTACGGAAGCATCTTTTGCTTAAGGAAAAAATTATCTTAAAATCTTACAATGCTTTAATGAATTTGCTTCAAGGAAAAGAAGATACTACATCAATTGCAGATGAGGTAAAATTAATCATGTGACCATTTTATCATGTTATGAATTAAAACCTATTGAAGAGTTATTTATTTAACTTTATTTTTATATGGACACTATTACAGAAGAATTATTTAAAATAGAAATTAGAATATAATAGAAATAAGCAATTGATCAAGAAGCAAAGTGGGAGGGATTATTAATGGTAGGCTTTTATGTCACTGAAAAATATGTGCTTAAGAAGCCAAGATTTTACCAATTTGCAAATTATTCTACTCAGTAGGATATCAAAATCTCAGTTACCAGTAACCTTGGGGCAATAAGTCCTTTTGTTTTAAAAAATATTTAATTAAACTCTTTTATTTATATAGTTTAAATATAAATTACCCCTTATTGAATTATAATTTTCTGACTATTTAAGGAAAATTACTGAACATTATTTAACCTTGTATTAATGACACAATTTTATCATTAGTATAATTGTTCTTTTAGTCTCTTGCACGGTTCATTTTTATGGATATTTATTTTTCTAGTGTCACTAAATTGCTCTGATTTTTTTAGCCCTTATGTCTGCTTTTTATCATTTTCCTTGTGGTTGACCATTCGAATCTCTTTAGTACCTTGTAATTATTTATGCATGTACAATAATGTAGAAAGTTAGCAAAAACTGCTTTGACTTCATAAAAATAGTATTTATGCACATCAGTTCTACTCAGAAGACAGTGCAATAAAGTTACTAATAAATCAAGAAAAGCTAGGCAGTGCTTTGCTCTGACCCTCTTCAAGGTTGACCATTCTTGTAATGGTCTGAATCTCAGTCCTAGAAATATGAGGGTTTGGGTCCAAAATAGATTCTGTGAGTATAAGAAACATAACATAGACCCATGATGTTACATTTCTGTAATACTCTTCTAGTTTTCTGAGGAACCTCATAAAAGTCATTGTTAAAAGTATCCCCGTTTCCCTTGGCACATAAAGGCGTAACATAGATGAATGGTTAAGGTAGAGCATGGGCTCTGGAACTCTGCTTTGGTTCAAATCCCAGCTGTGCCCCTTGCTAGGTGTATAATCTGGGACAGGGTATTTAACTTCCTTGAACCTCATTTTTTTAAAAAATCTGGAAAATATAATAGATCATAATACTATGGACATAGGGTATTAGGTTATTGTGAAGGTTAAACAAATTAATACAGAAATGGTATTAGAATAGTACCTAACCTATAGTAAGCATTCTGTGTTATTTATTATTATTACTACACCTGTTCCTACTCCTCCTACTGTTTCTATTATTATTAAAAATCCATTTGTGTGGAAATGAGTATGGCTTGGACTTTAAGAATGAAATTTTAGCAATAACCAGTCAGCAGTCCGAAGATACAGTAGCTTAATCAGTTTCATTCGTACAAAAGTTAGCATTCATAGGTTGAATGTAAGTCACTGGTAAGGTAAAGATTGGATTGTTTTCAGCATGCCTGGGGTACATATTGTGTGATTATTTTCAAGATGGACTCCAGGTTTACTTCCTTTCTGTGTTGGATACCCTATCTTGTTTATAAGCAGGCCATGCTTCCTAATCTGAGTAAATAGTTAAATATATAAGTTTCATTTAATTGAATTATGTATAATGTATAATATACATAATTTATTTTAAAATAATTTACACTTTTTAGTTTTGGTACATTTGATAGTTGTTGTTGTTTTTGTAATTAGTTACTTAAACATGCTTTTCTTTAAGGAATGTCTTGTTACTCTTTATGGTGAAGATAACAATCCAGTTCATACTTGTGATAAGAACTTACCAGGCAATTCTCAAGATTCAAAACAGCTAGTAGAGAAGACATGGTATCGTGTAATAGATGATAGTTTGGTTGTTGGAGTGAAAACCACATCTTCTTTGGATCTGTAAGTAAATTCTATCATGATACCGTTAGCACTGTCCAACAGAAATATAATGCAAACCACATAGGTAATTTTTAGTATTCTAGTAGCATATTAAAAAATGTAAATAGAAACAGGCAAAAGGAATTTTAATAATAATATATCCCCAAAATGATCATTGCTGAGGGATAAATAATGTTCTATATCTATTTGTTTATGTTTTATATGTTTTTATGAATTTTTACAGAGAGAGAAAGGGACAGGGATAGACAGATAGAAATATCAGTGAGAGAAGAACATCATTAATTTGCTCCCTCCTGGATCACACCTGTAACCCAGGGATGTGGCCTTGATTGGGATTCGAACCGGCGACCTTTTGGTTCCTGGGTCGACACTCAACCACTGACCCACCCCACCAGGCAACAACATTCTGTATTTAAAAGCAGATTTTATTTAAGTTATTTAGGGGAGTATAAAATGCAATTTTTACTTTAGAACTATTTTCATTCTAAATTATTGCCAAAATAACATTTTTTTAAAATGGTGTTGTTTTTTTTCTTGTTTAAAAGAAAGTGAGGAGTGGGAGGCTAATTTCAAGAATAAAATCCAGGCATTCATTTACCATTTCTTTCCATTAAAAAGTTACTTTTCTAAAGTCCAGCATATTCACAATGTTTTTGCTTTCTTATTTTAAGAGAGGTATTCATTACAGGATTTAAAAAATGTATTTGGCTCTTATGCCTGATTTTCTGATACATTTTACATTTGAAAGTATGTTTCCCAGGAAAGGAGAGGATAAAATGTGTTGTTGTTTGTATGGCATTGAATGATATGTTTGATTTTAAAGAATGAACTTTTAGACTAAACCAAACTCTGGATGTTTTGCAGGTCTCTGAACCAGGCGACTTTGTCGCTGTTAATGGATGAACCCCATAGCTCCAGCTTTCGGCTTATTAAGTGTCAAAATAGGGTGATCATGAGCAGGGACTCTTTTTCAGCACCCTGCTCAGTGCCCTATGAGAAAGGATCTGAGACAAAAAGGATCAAATTGACTGTTGATAGTGAGGAAGAGGAAGAAGAGAGCTCTGTTTGTGGACAGTCATCTGAGAAAGAGTGTGTTCAGATAGTCACTGCCGTGACATCACTTTCGCCACTCTTAGCATTCCGTCAGGTATGTTGCATTGCGCTGCTGCACATTAGAGAGAGAAAAAGTGGTACCTCTTCTGAACATCGTTTTTTTCCATGTGGCAGACTTTTTATAAGTCTAGAAGATTTGTCAAGTGGGAAATACCTCGTGACATTTCCGAAGAAACCTATAGGTAATTTTTGTTGGTACTTTTGAATCATATACCAAATTGAATCAGAACATTTTAAGAACTCTTTTTTGTTTGATAACAGATTTGAATGAAAAAGCTTGTGACATGTTTTTCTTGTAGAACAAATGGAAGATCTCTTGGCCCTTCTCGCAACATTGCAAAAAACTTGCTTCCAAATAAAATCAGCCAGATATGCCCTGACTTCAGTGAAGAGATGGCTCTTAGAACACCTGAAATGTGAAGTAATCAAGAAGTTTCCAGAAATTTGCTTTTGTAAAGGGTTAGAAAATCTGCATGGGACGCTCTTCCACTGGCAACAAAGGACACCATTTGAAGGGATTTTAATAATCTATTCCAGGTAATGCACATCAAATTGGAATTGGTCCACCAAAGTCAGTGTATGGTGAATGTGTGGTCCAATAGGAATCCCCATGATAAAATTCTGTGCCATTGTGGGACACGTCCGGGTCATTGCCTGCTTTGGTATGAATGGGCTGGTGGCCTCATATAAAAACTATAGCTGTTTTAATTTTTTTTTATTTTTGACTTTTTTATTTTTGGTTGAATTGGGCCTAATAATTATTTTAAGATTTTTCCCTTACCTCTCCCCCTCCATGACATATATATATATGTAAAATATTGATTTTACTACTCAGAAAAAAATTAATTAGGAAGCAACCTCATGAGTATTAAATGACCTGGTGTAGGATATGTATTTTATATTACTACAGTCTGAATTCTATCAATGATCACACATGCATTATTGGTTCTATTCATTGCTAGAATATTTATACATGAATATTAAGTGATTCATATGTTGTATACAACTGCTTTGTTCTTTCCTGAGTTTTATAATATTGTGTTTTTGTGTTGTTGTTTTTTTATTTCCAGGAATCAAACAGTTTTGCTTCAGTGCCTTCATAAACTCACCAGAGTTCTCCCTATAGACTGTTCCTTCAAAAATGTAAAGTCAGAAAGTGAGGATTCCCCAAGTGCTCGTTTGGCATTCACTTTGGAGAAGGAATTGGCCATCCTAAGTTCTCTTCCTTCTGCCTTAGTTAAGGTTGAAAACAATTTGGTGCGGAGCAGTGACGCAAGCAAAGAACAGAGTAGTGGTGCTCTGGCTGTTTTAGCAGACATAGAAGAAAACATCCAGCCCTACAGAGAAGAACTTCAGAGAGAAAAGCAAACGTTGGGGAAGGATCTAAAAGTGAGTGGCGCCCTCTATAGGGAAATGACTTGGCAATTAGCCGAGGCTCAGCTGAAATCAGACCTTGCTGCAGAGGAATTGAGTGGTCAATAATTCCAATCTCAATTTGGTTATATTTTAAAATAGTTTCCCTGCCAGAATAGTTTGGGTCCACTTGTTTTTATTTCATATGATATGCCTCCTTTGTAACAATGAACAATGAGGCTTTTTATAGAATCAGGTTTTGATGATGCACAAAATATCAAGCCTTAGAGCAGCACTTTTTGAACTGGGGCCATTTTGCCTCCCTCCAACCTTCCCTCCCCTTCCCTCCCCTTCCCTGCCCAGGAGCATTCAGCTTGTTGGAGACTTTTTATTAATTGTCAAAAGGAGTGGACAGTGGGGAGTCTGATGCAGGGACTCTATTCATATCTGGTGGGTAGGAGCTAGGGATGCTGCTAAATATCCTAATCTGCACAGAACCTCCCTAGAATAAATGATTCTTGCCTGGCTGGTGTGGCTCAGTGGTTGAGCGTCGACCTATGAACCAGGAGGTCAGAGTTCCATTCCCGATCAGGGCACATGCCCAGATTACGGGCTCCGTCCCCAGTGTGGGGTGCGCAGGAGGCAGCCAATCAATGATTTTCTCTCATCATTGATGTTGCTACTCTCTCCCTCTCCCTTCCTCTCTGAAATCAATAAAAATATATTTAAAAAAAAAGAATTATCCATCCCGTAATTCAGAGGTTGAGAAATCCTGCCTTGGAATTACCACTTGAGAGAAGGCAGAAGTGCTTTAATAGTACTTCGGTCTTAATCTTTTTTAAACACTTAAGTAGTTCTTTTATTGTATTCTGCTTAGTAAAATCTAGCTTATAAAAATTAACTTCAAACAGTCAAGGCTGTCAGGATTCACAAGTTGTGTAAAGACCAAGGTCTTATGGGAATTTAAATGGTGGACTGTCTGGGTGAGACCATTAAAATGAAAATGTTTATTCCCTTGTTCATTTACATTTTATTGGAAAGTTTCTCTAAATCGTTTACGTTTATAGGAACGTGAAAATTTTAGGCCATTTCTCTTAAAAAAGCATCTCTTTTTCCAAAGGTTAAGTACACCTCATAGGCCACTGTTTTGTTTTGTTTTTTTTAATTAAAAGTGCCTTTAAGCCATGTGCAATTCTAATTCTTAGAAAAGCTAAAATATAATACTCTAACTAAAATAATTTAAAGAATATGGTATTTCTCACAGACTGAGAAATTTAAAAATAATTGAAAATTCACTTCAGTTAGGAAGTGATTTTTAAGGGATTCAGAGAGACATTTCAAAGGGATAAAAATTCAACTTACTCCTTTTTAAAAAAATGAATTCTGGAGTAATAGAATGTCAGGAGAGGGGAAAAAGACTCGAAAGGATATGGGCCAAAAGGAATATTTCTGATCCTTTTTCACTCTGAAATCCTTAAGTGAGATGGAGGAAATAAAGATGATTATGGAAAGTGGCATTTCGTGCTTGGAGTCATAAAGTGCTAATTCTCCCTATGCCTTCACAATGCTTGTACCTAATGATACGATGATGCAAATGGGTTTTAGAGATTGTAGGTTATTTTCTTGTCTCTGCCTTTATGATTGCCCATATAATGTGTTCTTTTTTTATTAAACCATTGCAAATGGAGACAGCTCCCTTCCTATGAAATGTCAATGGAAAATATTTCAGACTTTCTGGAATGGAAATGAAATAATTTCAGGATTAATTTTGGAAATCTGGGAGCAGTAGGTGTCGATAGATATATGAAAACTGTCCATGGCATGTTCTGAAAGAACAACCAAGTATAAAATATAAGAACTAAATTAGAAGATGAGGCTGTCAGAAAACTAAATACAATTTAATTGTCTTAGTTCATGGATAGAAAACTTAAAAGTAGCATTTGCTTATATTTTCTTTTTTTTTTAAGAGGAGGTTTATTTTATTTTTTAAATATATTTTTATTGATTTTTTTACAGAGAGGAAGAGAGAAGGATAGAGAGTTAGAAACATCAATGAGAGAGAATCATAAATCAGCTGCCTCTTGCACACCCCCTATTGGGGATGTGCCCGCAACCAAGGTACATGCCCTTGACCGGAATCGAACGTGGGACCCTTCAGTCCGCAAGCTGACGCTCTATCCACTGAACCAAACCGGTTTTGGCAACATTTAATCTCTTTAAAGATATCAGTGGTGTATCAAATTGAGGAAAAGATGGCCTCATGTTCTCTCGTGGCTCAGTTGTCTGCCTTTGTAAGCATGTTCCTCTGACCACTGCCCTCACCCAGTTTGTTTTGGGACAGAGGACGCCACAGTTTTCAGGCACAAAACTTTCTGTTGGCCTCCTGATCTTTTAACAAAGAAATGTGTGCAAGCCAACATTGTACAGTGTAGTGACCAGTTGGAGGAAGGAAAAAGAAATGTAATGTTTATTGACTGCCAGCTATGTGTAAAACAGTAAGCCTGAAACATGCACACACATACATGTTCATGTGCATATCCATACATATATATGGGTTAATTCTTCACAGCAACCCGTTGAAAGTAATTATTAGTGTTGTCCCCAGTATGAAAAGGAATGTTAAAACCAAATTAAGCGGGTGTATGCAAGCAACTTGAACCTTGTCCTTGTTAAAAATTTTTTAAAATGAGCATACCCTTTAAGAATTTTAGTAATGTACAGGCCTGGTTGAGTAGCTCAATTGGCTAGAGCGCTGTCCCACTAGGCCAGGGTTGCGGGTTCAATCCTGGCCGGGGCACATTCAAGAATCAACCAATGAATGCATCAGTAAATGGAACAATGAATCAATGTTTCTCTTCTCTCTTCCCTCCCCTCACCCATTCCTTTGCCCCCTCTCTCTAAAAATCAATAAAAGTCATTTTTAAAAAAAGAATTATAATAATATACAAGTGAATATTGTCTTGATAAAGCTTTGTTTTCCTTCTTCCATTCTTCCTTTCACTCTTACTTCCTTTTTTTTTTTTTTTGTGTGTGTGTGTGTGTGTGTGTGTGTGTGTGTGTTTGCCTAAAAGTTGGACAGTATCAGATATTGAGAGATATCCTTTTTTCCTTGTACTTAAACTTGTAAAAACAGCTGTTTCCATTCTCATGGCATGAGTGAAAGCTCTTTCTTGGACAACCCCATTAGAGGACTTTAGTCTTATTGCTAGAGACAGTATGGTGCAATGGAAAGAATGCCGATCCATAAACAGTGTACTGAATTGAATCCTTTGTCAATTTGTTCTGTTTTCCCTTTGAGAGTTTCCTTGATCTGTTACTTGAATTGCTTACTCCCTTAACCAAAAGCCCTATCCCAGTGGTCGACAAACTCATTAGTCAACAGAACCAAATATCAACAGCACAACGATTGAAATTTCTTTGGAGAGCCAAATTTTTTAAACTTAAACTTAAACTTCTCCTAATGCCACTTCTTCAAAATAGACTCGCGCAGGCCGTGGTATTTTGTGGAAGAGCCACACTCAAGGGGCCAAAGAGCCGCATGTGGCTCGTGAGCCGCAGTTTGCCGACCACTGCCTTATCCTATTGGGTTGAGTATCTTCACAGTGCTAATTGTCTGGCCACCTTCTAGGAGCTTATTTCAATAAGCTTGTGTTGGTTTTTATTCAATAGGGTAGGAAAAGATGGCCTCACCATTCACTAGGGCCAGAAAATCAGACACCTTCCGTGCTGCACTGTTCAGATTTGTCCTGTGTTACCCTGTGAGGAGCTACACTGGACACAGTACCTGTGTGCGTAACTGTAGGTCAACATAACTGTCCTGAGTCCAGCTAGGGAATTTCTTTAGCATCATTAACTTCATCTTTAATTATCCATTTCACGGTACTTACCCCAAAATTATAAATAGTGTCACTGGCCAATAAAGCATACCGTTAGCAACCAAGCAAAGCCTTTAGCACTAGATACCCTGTCAGTGCGGAGTGGGAGAGATGTGAGGAGTTCTATTGATGGCTTGTTGCACATCCTTTTCTTTCTTTTCTTGTATCAGAAACTCTCCTTTTGTTAAAGAAATGTCCTTCCCCCATAGTTCATGTGACGGGGGAGCACACTCTATTCCCAGGTCCAGAAGTTAGTCCTGGCTCATCTAAGCTAGTTGTGCAAGACATTTCCCTGGCAACTGATACTGGTTTGGGCGGGCAGAAGACTTAAATCGGACCTGACTGGTCTGAGTGGAAGGACTGGGTTCTTTGTTGAGGAAGAGGTTCTCTTCCTTTCCCATCTAGAAGTGGGAGACCTTAATTTAAAAAGGTGAGAGTTACCTTATAACCACAGGAAGTTAGGCTTTTTGAATCAGTCTGACATTATAGACTGCATAATTGTTTTATCGTCCCGCTGATCAAACCTAAATCTCACCCTTCCCCAGGACTGCCTATTGCTTCAGAAAAAGTAATTTGTAACAGAAATCAAGGTTTCTACTACTTGCAGGGAAAACAATAGCTCACTGCTAGAAATGGGAAAAAGAATGCCAGAGCGTGAAGCTGACTGTTGGATATGTGGAGTCCCAGAATGGGAGTCGTTTAGTACAGAGGCGGGTTGCTTGTACCTGCTAAGAGTAGGGCTCAGTAGCGATGTCTCAGTGGTCAGCGTCAACCTATGAACCAGGAAATCATGATTCAATCAATTCCTGGTCAGGGCACGTGCCCTGGTCACAGGCTCAATCCCCCGTGGAGTGTGTGCAGGAGGCAGCCAATCAGTGATTCTCTCCCTCTCCCATTCTGAAATCAATAAAAATATGTTGAAAAAAAGGAGTGGGAAAGAGCCACCCACTTTGTCCCCACGTGCACCTTTCATTGGCTCACTAGGCTTCTTTCTTGTTTTTGTTGTTGTTGTGTGTGTGTGTGTGTGTGTTATTTTTTTTTTTTTTTAGTTTACAACTCAAATTATTTCACATCTCATAATATTTTATATCTGAGATCAGCTTTTTTTTTTTTTTTTGGTCTTTTTAATCGTCTTTTCTCTATTGCTTAGCTTCCCTCTGGCATTTTACCAGGCTACTTTACTTATTCAATTAAGCCTTCCTCATTGGGTTAAATGTATATTTCATATTATTTAACCTATTTCTCCATATTTCC